ATTTTGTAATTTGTTATGTAATGGCTTCGGAATGGGGCCCATTGTAAGCCATCCTGAGTCCCCCTTCGGGGGCTGAGAAGGATGGGATAGAAATGCGAGAAATAAATAAATAAATAATAAAAGTGTCAGGCTCAAACCCAGAACCTCAATCAATGGCTGATACCAACTGAGAGACTCCTCCCTGGGCACACAGAAAACTGGGTGACTTGGAAGGCACTGAACAGACTGCGCTTTGGCACCACGAGATGCAAAGCCAACCTTAAGAAATGGGGCTACAAAGTGGAATCCATGACATGCGAGTGTGGAGAAGAGCAAACCACCGACCACCTACTACAATGCAACCCGAGCCCTGCCACATGCACAATGGAGGACCTTCTTATAGCAACACCAGAGGCACTCCAATTTAATAGAATGCTAAGTTTGCAAACTTTGTTTTGTTTTGTTTTTTAATACAACTGTTTGGTTCGCTCCTGACACAATAAATAAATTCACTCCCTTCTTGATTATGGTCAGGGGCCAAATGGTTTTTTAATTCACTTTGACTGAATTGTAGGCCTTTGTTTTACATTGTGATTTTTAGTGTTTTGGCTGCTTTTAATTTTTTTATGTAGCCTTTCATCAACTGAATTTCATATTGCATTGTTTCAATGTTTTGCCTAATTGACTGCTTCATATGAGGTTCTGCCTCCAAAGATTGTATAGAAAAAATTCAAATCTAAGTATAATAAAATAAATCTTTCAACTTGTAGGGTGCTATTAGTGCGATGACAAAAGCCCTGGCCATCGATGAGAGCAAATATTGTGTCCGGGTCAACAGGTAAGACTGTTGTTAGCAGAGGGTTATCAACTATCAAGGATTCAGTTTTTGGGATCAATGAGGTTTTGAAAACTGAAACAAATAGGTCATTTTCCTTTTCCCTGAAAATTACCAGGAGAATGTAATAGCTCACACATTTTGGTCTTCCACATGTTTTGATCATCTGCTCCCAGTGTCCCTCCCTATTGTCCACACTAGCTGGTCCTTTGCTGGTTGAGGTGACCACTCCTATTGGCCACATTATAATTCAAAATATCCAGAGTGACAAGTGCGTCCAAGAAATCCTGGCAGCAAATCTGAAGTATTTCAGAAAACATGACTGGGAATTTATTATATCTGAATGTTGGGGAGGGTTAAAAAAATTAAAAACAAGCAGCAGCAACAATAAGCAGTTTAGCAGGACAGAAGCTTCTGAGAATAGCAGGAAAGCAAATGAGCTTAATCAGTTAAGGGAATTGAGTCAGGCTTTAAAAGTTACAAAAACTTTACTGGAAAAAACTACATTTCTGTATTGTCAAAGGTTTACATGGCCAGAATAACTGGGTTCTTGTAGGTTTTTCGGTCTGTGTGGCTATGTTCTAGAAGCATTATCTCCAGATGTTTCGCCTGCATCTATGGCTGGCATCCTCAGAGGTTGTGAATCTGTTGGAAACTAGGAAAACTGGGCTTATATCTCTGTGGAAAGTCCAGGGTGGGAGAAAGAACTCTTGTCTGTTGGAGCTGGGTGAGAACCTTTCAATTGGCCACCTTGATTAGCATTTGATGCTAAATGCAAATCGTTGCCCAACTTTCCTACTTAGAAATGTAGTTGGGTTATTGTAAGTTTTTTGGGCTGTATGGCCATGTTCTACAAGCATTTTCTCCTGATGTTTTGCCCAAATCTAACGGTTTTTAGGTGCACCTTGTTACTGCCTGAGGGAATTCTTTGTTGAGAGGTGATTAGCTGTTCCTGATTGTTTCTTTTCTGGAGTTTGCCTGTGTTTGAGTTTTGTTCTTTACTGTTATAATTTATAAACTCTAAAATTATAACAGTAAATAAAAAACAAAACTAAAAACAAAACTTATTTGTTCAACAATAAATGTGAATATTCTCCTTCATGGAAAAATAAGACATCCCCTGAAAATAAGACCTAGCACATCTTTGGGAGCAAAAATTAATATTATTTATTTATTTACAGTATTTATATTCTGCCTTACTCACCCCGCAGAGGACTCAGGGCGGATTACAATGTACATATCCATGGCAAACATTCAATGCCATAGACACACAACATATATAGACAGACATGCAGAGACCATTTAACATTCCAGCTTCATGAGGGTATTCTGGCCAACAGGGGAGCTGTTGCTTCACTGTCCATTTGTGACACTGATGGAGTACTTCCTCATTCTTGCAGGCTTGCTGGAGATTTTATGGCATTGTAAATTAGTTAAATTAGCCTCCCTGCATAAGCAGTGCCTACATTTCCTACTTCACAGTTGCAACTGTCCTTTGGGCTGCAAAGGTCAACAGCAAGCTACACAATAGTCAGAAGCTCACTCCGACCCGGGCTGGCTTCAGACTCATGACCTTTTGATCAGTAGTGATCTAATGCAGCTAACTCCCAGCCAGCTGCGCCACAGTCCCAGCGCTGCCTTATTTTTGGGGAAACAGGCTATTTCCTTGTTGAAGACTATAAATATGCGCAGGATATGGTTGACTGAAATGTAGAAGTAAAATACACAGGTAACATATGGAAACTCTGGTGTGTGTGTGGGGTGGGGGGTGGGGGAGGCACTATTATACTTCTAGGAATATTAACATAGCTCACCATGTCGGAACTGATTTGCTTACCTTTCTGTCCTGCACATTCCAAGCCTGTCTTCCCTCCTTTAAAAAAATCCAAACAATTTGAATTCTAGCATTTCGCCTGGCATTATCTGGACTCCACTGCAAGAAGGGATTGTGAATCAACAACCTGATCCAAAGGCAGCAATCCAGGAAAGCAAAGATTCTCAGGCAAGTGAAGGGAAAAAGTATTTCAGATGGAAATATAACTACTGAAAGCCTTTGGAGTTTGTCTTTCTAATGCTTGAGACCTCTTATAGGCTTAAAGACCAGAAACTTTTGATTTATTTTGACAGAAGACAATGACTCTTATTTTGACAGAAGACAATGACAATGGAATAGAGATGTGTGTATGTTTGTGTCTACCCATGAGATTATCCTCAAGCACTAATTTTGCACTACCCTTTTTCTTCTCCATTGTGTCCATAGCTTTTGGGACGGATGGGGACCCCTGCAGAGATTGCGAAGGCTGCCCTGTTCCTTGCTGCCGATGCCACATTCTGCACAGGATTTGACCTTGTGGCCAGCGGTGGAGCAGAGCTTGGATTTGCCCATAAGAGTCAAGTTACTTCTGGATGTGGCTCTAAAGACTAGTAGAGTCAACCAGGATGGGAGGATTGCAGTGGCTACAAAGTAGAATGCCAATCTATTTGATTTCCATTTAGGTCGAGGACTATCTCACAAGGTAGTTGTATCTGCATTGCCCATATAAGAAAAGACCAAAAAGCTTTTAGAATTCTAGATCTGTGGTTTCCAGCATTTGGTCCTCCAGTTGTTTTGGTGCCCCATTCCAACCACATCCTTCAACCTAGAGCTCTGTCAAGGAATAGGTCCCTTCCCATATTATTCCCAGATGTGAACTCAGGCATTGCCCCCAAATTTGGACTGTAAAATCCACTTCCAAAAGACCTGCCTCCCAGATGAAAAAAGGTCAAGAGACCCAGAGTGGTGCAGATTGGATGAATTAGCCCTGTTGGAACAGCTGCCTGCATGGCAAAGGGAAATGCTGCTTAATATTGGGGGCATCGCAAAAATGTGGGGGCTGTTCAATCCCTGGATGAATACTTTTTCCCACCCAAGGAAATGATGGCAATCTCCCCTTGATATTGTAACACTAACCACAAACATGTCTTTCCTTCTCATATATGAACAATTCTAATTTGTGGGTTGTCATAGGTTTTTCGGGCTACATGGCCATGTTCTAGAAGCATTCTCTCCTGACGTTTCGCCTGCATCTATGGCAGGCATCCTCGGAGGTTGTAAGGACCTCACAACCTCTGAGGATGCCTGCCATAGATGCAGGCGAAACATCAAGAGGGAATGCTTCTAGAACATGGCCATATATAGTCCAAAAAACCTACAACCACGCAATGATCCCAGCCACGAAAGCCTTCGACAATACAATTCTAATTTGTATACTCAGTAAACATTTGATACTATACATCTTAAAGAGTCTTGGCTGTTTTATTTCAGAGCCCTTTTTTGTTTCTGCTTTTCTTTTGCATTTCTTGGATCTCAATTAGGCTTTGTACCTCAGAGTAAATGGAATGGGAAGAAAAGAGCAGTTGTAAGGCTTAATTTTTATCTTTTTAAATTTGTCTTTAAAGAATTTAGAGTGACATACACTGTTATTGTCCTTCTCACCCACCTCGCCTCTTTACACACTATGAGGAAGGTTGAGGCTGAAGGAAACTGGCCAAAGTCATCCATGGAGCTCTATAGCTGAAGAAGAGTTTTAAACTACATCTCTCAAACCATAAGCCAACAGCATTTTTCTGACCAGATGTTCTAGAATACAATCCCTATTACCTTTAGACACCATAACTATGCTCTTCGGGCCCTTCCACACAGCCATATAACCCAGAATATCAAGGCTGAAAAACCCATAATATCTGCTTTGAACTGGGTTATCTAAGTCCACACTGCCATATATTCCAGTTCAAAGCAGATAATGTGGGATTTTATTCAGTGGCATGGAAGGGACCTCCATATACCATAGTAGGTAGGTCTTGTTGTGTGTCTTCAAGTTGTTTCTGATTTATGGAGGTCCTAGGCTGGGATTTCCTGAATATGATTGGCTCAGACAGGGTTTGTAATTGCCTTACTATGAGGCTGAAAGAGTGTGACTTGCTCAAGGTCACTCTGAAGATTTCCGTGATCAAGTAGAGATTCAAACCTTGGTTTCCTGGAATACTAGTGCAACCTCAAAGCACTACATCATGCTGGCTGTCAGCGCTGCCAAAATTTGAAAATTTCTGCAAACTCCTGAAAGAGTGTTAAGATCTTTTTATAATTATTCTTTATTAGTTTTATTGCAGGCAATCTAATATACATTGAAAAGAAAAAGAGGTACCAGAAACAAAGGGGGGGGGGGGTCAGAGTGGAAGCAAAGTCTACAACTAATCACTAAATAGGGCCCCATCTACACTGCCATATAAAATCCAGTGTATACTCATATAATCCAGTTCAAAGCAGATAATCTAGATAAAATATAAACAAATAAGGCAAATGACCTTTTCCATCTTACACTCAGCAATGGTGTGACCATTAGTCTTCATCCCCTCTTCCTCCTCTATAAACCTATAGAAAGCATCACACAAACTCTCATATCTTTTTATATTATTATTTGAAATACAAGATTAGTCCACAGCAAACAAGATCACTATGCTGATTGCTGTATTGGATCACATGTCAGACCCTTCTCAAGTGTCTAGGACTATAAATAATTTTTGCAGATCCCAGTAGGGTGGCCTTTTGCTGCTGACAGATGGTAATTTTGTCAGCGCCAATTGTGTTTAAGTGCAGGCCAAGGTCTTTAGGCACTGCACCCAGTGTGCTGATCACCACTGAGACCACCTTGACTGGCTTGTGCCAGTCCTTATCATCATCACCATCATCATCATCATCATCATCATCACCATCATCATCATCATCTATAAAATGAAGGTAAATGTACATGAACATATGAACTCCATTAACTTCTCTTGAGCAATTCTAGATACCCATTCCACTCCCTGTGTGAGGGACAAAGGACCTTCCTGGATCTCAGTGGGAACCCATCTGCCCGTTGGCCAGAACTTCCTATTCGGAGATCTCAGCTATCCGTGGAACAAAGATCCAGGATGAAACCTTGATTGCAATCGCACCAATAATATACATCTTTATATGTCTCCCCAGAATGGAAAGATGTCTGGGACAACAACCCTTGTTGTCTTCTCTGGCAGGGTCCACTATCTGCATAATCCTGGCAATCATATTTTGGACTTTTCTTTATCTCCAGCTACACACCTAGGGGTTGATTTGACCCCTAAGGACTTCACTGCCCCCAAGACTGCCTCTGCCAGCCCATTGGAAGCCCCAGAGTCTCCCTCCCCAGCTGGGAGGAGATCCCCAGCTATGTCATCACCACCTCCTCCAATCATGGCACTCACTGTCTTAAGACTCACTTCCTGACCAATCAGAGGCCTGGGGGACACAGGCTGGCTTCTTGCTGCTAACTAATCAGGAGAAAGGGAGGGAGTTTCAAAACATAGCAATGTTAATGCAAGAGAATTCTTGTGTATAAAAATGTCTGCTTATGATTATGCTTTTACACTTGTACCCTTTGAGTATCCATGCTATATGTGTCCTTTTTGCATACATTGAATAAAGCCTTCAACCTGGTGAGATTCCTGATTCCTGATTCATGACATCCAGAGTCAGCGAAGGTTGCCAGGCATCCCTAGGTATCCATAGGACTTATAAAAACACCAAATTTCTGGCACCATAAGGACACTTCTAGTACTGCAACATAAAGAAAAATGAATATTGAGCATTTGGACATAAATACTGCTTTTCTTCATGGAGATCTAAGAGAAGGTAATTGAGCAACTCTCAGGATTTGAAGACAATAACAAAAATATTGCATGTAAACTGCAAAAGAGCATCTATAGACTAAAGAAAGGAGCTAGGGAATTGAATGAAAAATTGAATGAAAAGTGTTTTATTCAAGGAAAGACTCCCAATACAAAGATAACAAGTGGACATATATTCTGGCTTGCTGATGATGTAATGATTAGTTATGAAGTTATGAGGAAAAATGTGATATTAATGAAATTGTGGAACATCTGAATAAACAGATTAAAATGTTTCAATCTCATTACAAATTAAGGGGTGAGGGGGAATCATTTCTAAAATGTTTCCAAAATTGGACAGGGTCTGTATCACAACCATAATGAATTAACTTCTTTTTTGTTACTTTTTGTTAAGTAATTAATTGTGCCAATGGGGAAACTTCAGGGGCACCTTTCTCCCTCATTGTTGGAGCTATCGGCATTATTTATTTATTTATTATTTATTTGATGCACTTGTTAACCGCCATTCTCAGCCCTTACGGGCGACTCATGGC